TGTTTACATTGTAAGACACAGATGCTGTTCACACGAACATAGGGCCGACATGTGAACATATATGAACATATGAACATAGTGTTTACATTGCAAGGACACAGATGATGTTCACACGAGCATAGGGCCGACATGTTAACATGAGTTGTGAATATGTTCATAATCGATCGTAGGTTACAAATCGGCKGGAGAATATCGGGTTCACGATGCGTGAGGATTTATTACCAAAATACCCTGTGAACAATTGTYMATAAGCARCCCAATTAATTTAATGATTAATTGATTATTTTTTAATACTCATTTAATAATGACCGTTTGACCAATTTACCCTTTGAACAATTGTTCATACTCATATCAATTAATACATTAATTAAATTATTGTTTATTTAATTTCATTTAATAATAATCGTTTGATGATAAAATGAACGATCAAGATCGATTTACATAGTTTGTACCATATGGTTGGTTTCTATTTGAACCAGCCCCTATATAGATATATATATATATATATATATATATCGTATTTATAAGGTAAATTTATAGTAAATAGACTATTAATATCTTTTATCATGATTCTAATTAAATTAAAAAAATCATTGTTTTAGTTAATTAAAAGATAATTGAGCAAGCGATCGTTTACCAAACACTTCTTGGATAAGTGATTACCAGGTCCATTTGGCTGAATATTTTTCCCAGTAACAGACAAGACAAGGATCAAGATTCTTACCCGGTGAGTGAATGTGGTGACTTTTTCTTGATAAAAGCTTACCTGGTGATAGATGCGTACCAACAATCTACTTGTTGGTTGTGAATGCTAATCGATAACTATAACGTGAGTGTGGTGATACAAATGCTTACCCGGTAAGCAGGGCAGTCCTTTTGGGAGGGCGGGGAAGGCATAAGTCCAGGATCCACAAAAAATATGAGCCCAATTTTTATAAAATTTAGTAGTATAGTAGTAGTAAAAAAACCGTAAAAAGACAAATTTTTTAGTATCTAATAGAACCCAATTTTTTTTTGTATTATATCAAAGAACCCAGACATTTATTAGTTATTTATATTGAAAAATAAAATATTTTTAAGCTAAAAAGTTAATTAGTCGTTCATTTAATAGTATTGTTTATTGTGTCTTCAAGTTTTTTTTTAAACTAGTACCAAAATAAAAAACTATGTGTAAAAACTTTGTTATATTATTATTCTCCTATCATTTCTCACCAACTCTTTTAATTATTTTATCAACGTGAATTCTATTTTTGTATTAGAATGTAGTTGATTTATAGGTTGTTATTAACTAAAGGGTTGTTTGTTTACCTCTTAATAGTTCTACTAAGAGGTAACATCTGAATCATTAAGAGGTAAATCTTGTTTGACAAAAAAAAAAAGTCTGCTCTTAATGGTTCTAAATCTTTCTGAATGATTTTGTATCATGTATCCCCCTTAGCCATTAAGAGTCCTAATTTCATTGTACACAATTACCAAACAATTACATTTCATTTTGCACTTTATCATTCTGCACCAAACCATTCAGCAATTGTCAAACAGCTCCTAAGAAAACTTTACTTTTTGAAAATTATCAACTATATGAGATTGTCCAACTTATATCTATGTTTAGGATTTTAAAACTATCATTGTTTTTTATACATTATTGACTCCTTATAACCTAATATCGAGTGTATGAATTTTAAATACTCTTCTATCTCGAAAAACAGGAACAAAATTTCAAGTTATAACCAACATGGACTTTTGATTCTAAGATTGATGGGTTTTTAAAAGAAGTTTCTTTTAACTCTAAAAGTTTAAAGCGGAGATGGAAAGTATTAAGCTGATGTGAGATGAAAATCCAATTGATTTATATTGGTCCACATCGAGTGTTAATTCGAATAGTCAATATTGAGAACCCAATTAATGTCAATTTATATATTAAATGTGTATCATAATATGTTTGATACTACGTAAATGTTATAGTAGATAATATTAACTTAAAATTAATTATTGATTGATTTTGCATCTATGAATATTTGGAAAAACAGTTTTATATGAACTATTAATATTTCTTGAATTCAATGTTATTTCCGATTATAAAAACGATATGTTAAACATTTTTTTGTATTTATTAAGGGCCCTTTTTCATATCTCGCCACGGCCTATAAGATGTCAGGATCGGACGTGCTGGTAAGCGTTTGGTAAAAGAACCCTAACACTATTAGTTACATATTTGAAGGTCATCAAGAAATCGCATTCCATCAACATTCATCCAAAGGAACAAAAGAGGTAAAGCAACAAACAACTAGTTAAAACGTCACCAAAGAGCCTTTGGCCTAGCGGGCTAACAATATCATAGCCTTTGGCCTCCTAAGAGGTCGGGCTTCAAACCTAACCGTAGGTGTGGAGGATCTGTGAGTTTATTTGTTGCATTTGTCGCATATAAATATTATATGCTTAAAAAAACTGGTTAAAACGTCATTTTCGGAGAAATTGTATGCCAATCAGAAAGTAGAGCCTCGGGGTTAAAATTGTAACGAATGATATACGAGCAACTTCTTTCGACCATCGTAATACCTGACTGACTTACAAAGCTTGCAAATTTCACACAAAGAGAATCCCAAAATACTCGAGTCTGGAAGCAATCTGGTAGTGATACAAAGAACCTGTAGGTTAAAAGGCTAAGAAATAGAAAAAAGAGGATGAGATTGAGGTTGGACAGAAGACCTGTTGACGAGTTTGACCACTGTGTTGACCCACCCGCTGATGATGCACTGCACAAGACAACATTAACATTAACGACCATACAACATTGATTTACAAACGCGTGTTTCCATATCACCAACGCTACAACTTGGCTCCTAAACAATACAAGATTAGTAAGGTAATGACGCTGGCCAGAAAAATAAGGATGACGTTTATACCGAAAACGCAAGTAACATGACCTTTTGACGAGTGTTTTCTAAATCCATGACCTTCTGACAGATTTATAGGCATTCTTGTGTATTCTTCTCTTAAGAAGTGACATTCTCAAACCTGTGAGAACGTTATGGGTTTTAAGGACACTTGGCAGAAAGTTAACAAAAAGACCCTAGAATCAACACACATACAAAATGTCCCCCAGACCCTACTCCATATGGGATTCGTATAGTTTAAAAAAGATCACTGGCACGAAATGCAAATAGATCATTTCAGAAGGAAAATAAATAAAAATTTGAACGGAATTTTGAGAACGAAGTACAGGATACGACTCTGTATATATTTGATGTTTAAAGAACATATTCAAGGTATTTAGGGGGTTTAGCACCACCTTAAGGATATTGCACTCAGCAACACTGCAACTTATTTAACTTATACCTTCAGTTATCAAATGAAAATAACCTTTCGCCACTTTTATACCAGGATAAGCCAAACCATTAAACTCGTTCAAGCAAAATCATGAGTAGGAAGAAAGGAAGGGCAGAAGAAATAAAGACAGACTTTTCAATTAAAATTTTGAATGCAACTGGATCCTTTTTTTAACAAGCCGCAAGTTACGGATTACGGACCACCAAAGGTAGTTTTTCCCAATGAATCTTACAACAATTCTTGTATCGATGATATGCAGCTTATGCCATCAATAAGAAACTCATTTCCATTTGACAATCACCATCTTCACGTTGGCATCCTTATTGCAACAGAATTCTTAAGGGAAGAATGTTCATTGCTACTTCTTCTCTGTAACCATGACAGAAGGTAAAAGGATTAACAAGACCCTATTTTCTATTTTGGAACATGTCTTTGTTCTTGCCTTCCTGTGGGGCTACACCCTTTTGTTAGTTTTTATTTAGTGAGTTCAGAATGTATTACATTCAGAATCTTTTTTTTTTTTTTTTTTGAAGTATATAATATTTATATACGGCAAATAGAACAAATAAACTCACACACCCTCCTCATCTTTGGTGAGGTTTGAACCCTTGACCTCCTAGAAGACCAAGGACTCACATACCGCTAGGCCAGAGGCCCTTTGGTTACATTCAGAATCTTTCATTTAACATTTAACATTTACATAAGAGAAGCTATATTGGAGTCAAGGCACAAACACTTGAACAAAGGATGTTAAAAGAGAGATATTCCCCAAATTTTGCAGGAATGCTGGTGCATTACAGCCTAGAATGCATATGAATTGTTGTCAGCCATGAAGATGCAGCCAATAGATCAACTCCAGTGTAACATTTGACCCTAAAACCAAATATTGTACCTTTTGTTCTCTTGGAAAAAGATTGTTGTTTGTGCCTATTATAAGTTAAGTACAGTTAAATTTTGATTTTAGTGGAGCTCACATCTTCACTCTTCACACAGAGTGAGTGTACTGAAACGCTGACTAGGGATTATTACAGATGCTGGGTGGAGGATTTCTTTTAATCGTGACACTCATTCCTGGCCAGTCTTCACGGAAACAGCCGCTGTACCTTTTGGGAAGAAGACATGCCTGCATACACTCCCCGGGGGATTTTAAGCAGGATATATTGGGTGTGATTATTTATTTTTACGGCTTCACTCAGACCATTCAGTTTACGAGAAAATTTCAAATAATGGCATTGATCTTCACTTAATACGTCAACAACTGTGTTTTCAAACACAACATTTGTGAGTTTTAATTTGGAGAGGAGTAAGGAGTTATTGATGGATGGGAGGGGGTGAATTGGACCAGTTCTTCTACCAAGACTGGACAGATTTGAATCCAGACTAACCCCAAAGCTCATAAAGAAAAACAGAAACTGGTCCCTTGTTAACTCCTCCCCTTCCATTCAAACCTGCTTCCCCCTCTCAAGTTTCTTCCTGCATCATTCTCAGTCCTAGATCTTTGCTATATGGTTTCCAATAGGAGAACACAAGCAACAAGTTCTCTCAGCTTCTTTTGGCCGATTAATTCTTGGATTATGTGATCAAATGATTCAAAGTCAATAGTTAAGGAAAACCAATAACAATAGAGTTGGACAAGAATGCAACTCACTTTGAAGATTAACACAGAACATTTAGTGTTGTGTTTCCCCAGCCTTCACTTCATCTGTATCTGAGTCACTAGCATCATAACCTATCAGAAGATTAACACAAAGCATATCGGTAACATCAGTAGATAAACTACATGGTTGTCCCTAAATAAATAAGACAGAAGATGTATAAGCACCTGGGCGTTTATCACCAACTCTCCATACCGAGCTTCGACTCCTGGAAGCCTTATTAATCCAAGCTTGTCCCTAATATCCAAAGCATCAAAACTAATTCATTTTGATAAAAACAACTAGTTCAAGAATCGACAAGGGCAAGCCATCACCCAGATTATCACACAAACTAGAGCCTATCTTCCAAAATTGATCAAGGATAACTGTAGCTGTGAGTGGTATCCAAATGAGATCATTATTTCGGAAAATTAACAGAAGTTACAATGACATTTACGGACAATTTATCAAAAACTGAGAAAAATGTTGATAATATGGAGACTTCATCAATGGCATTCATAAAGATTTAAGAAATAATAAATAATAGCTATATGACGCCTTCCAAGATCTAAAAAAGAGCAACAAGGGCGATGTGTTAGACGAGATTTTCAGTTGGAACAATGGGCTCAGCAAAGTCCATTCCAAATTCCAATTATGAACAAGTAAAGGAAAGAATAAGCGAGGAAAATGGTCGAACACCTTCTGTGCATCTTTCACCACACCGTAACCGCTGCAATACATCTGACCCACCAACACCTGCATGCTGGTGTCACCGGTTTTTGCATCCCTAAGGGTTTCCTGGAACCACCGTCTCGAGCACTCCAACACTACCTCCGCCAGCGGAATCCGGCGGTCCATGGATGAATTTTCTTCCATTATCTTTACTCTCTGTTGTTGCTTCTCTGATTGAACAATCCGAATCCCCTTCGATTTGGCAGGTTCCGGCGGAGGCACAACTCGGGTCCGGTTGAAAACGGGTTTAGGGCCTCGTTTCGATTGTTGTTGGATCCGATCGGATGTTATAACCCTGGCAAAATCTTGTAGCCTTGCCGAAGATGGAACCGATTTTCCCATAAACGGAAGGCACGAAATTGACTTCGAAAGAATTTCTTTACCCAATCCTGCAGTGGAAGATAAGTTCGTGATCTTCTTTCCAACAACTTTCCTCCTTTCCCTTTTGATTTCTTTATCTGGTTTTCATGGTTGGGGAGACGACTAGAAAGTTATTTCCAAAATCACTGAAGGACAAATTTTGTTAATTTCATCTTTCTTTTATACCCACAGGGATTGGGAAAAAAAAACTCAAACCGACCGTGAAAACTGAAAATCGAAACTTTTGGATCGGGTTCGGATATATCTTATTGGGGACGGAACAGAGACAAATTCGGGGATTTTAACGGGGGCGAGGACGGTGATCATCGGCCGCCCGGCCTGGTATGTGTGTGTATATATATATATTAATATTAATTTATATACATATACATATATATATATATATAATATCATTAAAAGAAAATAGTAGCATTAAAATTTAAAAGACTCTTATCCACTTTACCTCAACAATCCAAATAAAGCTCACGAAAAACTCTAGTTTATTTGTCTAAAATCGTGATTTTAGTTGTATGATGTTTGAATTTCTGTTTAGTTTTATATTATAATCTAATACATTGTTTGTAATTTGTTCGATTATGTTTGAGACATTTAAACTTAAATCTTTAAAAAAGATTGTAATTTACTTTTAATTGTGAAAATTAGCATATGGTAATTTTTTTCAGATCGATTTCGAGTTTCGGTTATAACCAACGGTGGAAAAGATGATTTTTACCCTTAACAGGTTCCCCAACAAGGGTCTGGGAAGCCGTGGGGACCCGATGGGGATCCTCGATAAGATCCCGATCGGAACGGTTACGGGGACGGTTTTAGCTATCGGTTTCGGGAACGGGGATACCACTACTCGTCCCGTTGCCATTCCTATATATCCAACTACCTATTTATGGGCACAAGAGTAACACTCCTCCCACCGGAAACCTGGTGTATCCGTCCAAACACATACGAGAACTCCCCGAAGATACGAGGACACCCTACAAAATCGGAGGCTAGGAAGGAGACGGGGATACCTGAAAGTTAAAATTAGGATGGGAATGGGGACAAGTATCATGGTCGTGGTCTCGCTCTATCCCCAAATATTACATATATTATATATACTTTGTGCCACCCTCTTCCCGGTACGGAAAAGGAGGTCACATTCGAATTTAAACACAGACCATCTACAAAAGCGTACCATCTTTAAAATAAAAACACCATTAAAAAATTTAACAATTGCCTTGAACGTTACATTTTTCTCTTCCAATTACAAAATGAATCAAACGGGGTATTTGAAGCACAAAAAGATTGACCGATCCCCTTAAAAGCTTCGTTTTTCAAACACACTAAATTGAGACACTTATGAATCTAAGAGGAGTTTAACTTATAAGAGTGTAGTAAACCACTAACATAACTTCATTTACGAACCTTTTCAAAAGATTTGAAAACAAAATGCATGGCGAATCAATCCAAATGTAGACTAGAAACTTCACATTCACAACTTTTCGAAATCGAGTCGTACTAGTTTCAACACTTTACTACACTATTTTATCATTTGGAAAATCATATCTAAACAGAAGTTTTAGATAAATGTCTTGTGAATTTGAAGAATCAAGAATGAACTGAATCGGAATTAAAATAGATTTTACACAAATCTGGGAAAAGGAATGTGATCATATTCCCCAATGGGGATGGAGACGGGGATGGGGATTGGGGTCCTCGCTCCATTCTCATGTCTACCTATTTATCTGCGTAATGCAACGTGATGTAAAGGTTCTATTAGCATATGTTCAATTTTTTCTTTGCAAAATATATTTGAAATGAAAAATGTTGTCTCAAAAGTTTTTGGCAATGTAATGGGATGAATCGTCTAAAAATGAAAAATTAATGCAGTTTTTCATTCAACAAATCTAAAATTTATTTTTGAACAAAATATAAACAACAATCATCACTTAGAACTTGATACACCATGTTTGATGTGTAGACTTGGTCCATATTGAACTTTTTAGTAGTTATTACTAATACCTTTGTATATTACCATGTGATATCCGACAATGCCACGTAAAGTTGGTCATGCGAGAATACCAATTCTCTTAGATAAACACCTATCAACAAAATTGTTTGCCCTTGAGTTTTACTGATTGTCATAGCAAAACAAATCTGAATGGGAAAATTGTTCTCTTTAGTTGGGACGGGAACATGTCATTTTCAGACGGACATAGAGAAATTCTCAGTAAAAATACCCTCTAACTAGCATGCTGACCAATAGTTATTTATTGTTGGGTCACCTATTGATTTGGTGATGACCCACTGATCTGTTCCTCTACCTTAGCAACACTTAGTAGTTATTGGGTCTTTGTAAGTTGGTGTCTTGGTACATACTTAAAGCCATTGGCAAAATCGAAGACTAG